TGGAAACCACAGGTTTGCCTTTCTCTCAGCCATAGCAGTGCAACAGTTTTATGTACTCCAGTATTGGTAAAACAGTCCCAGAAAAGTGAATTTCCATGGTCATCTCACTGTAGCTTTCTGTACAGAGCCATATCTGACCTGGACAGGACATCCCCAAACTGTGAACATATGTAGCTGCTGGAATAATCCAATGAGGCTATACACAAAACTTACATTGGGTATACCGCTGGCTGACCAAAAGATAAAAAAAAATTGCATAAAACAACTTATATATTCCCCCTTTGACTTAACTGTTGTAAACTTGTGAGCATGACCATGACTGAGTCTGTCTAAAGTCCTTTTTTAACTGTTCAGTCTTTCAAGCAGACTAGACCCTCTAAAGGAAAGTGCATAGTGAATTAAAGCTTCTCCAGCTGTTGAGCAGGGATTTTAGATGGCAATTTTGGGTTTAGTTGACTAAAGATTGTTGCTATTGCTGTTGCAATTGCCAGACAGACTCCTTTTTCTTTTAAGATGATTGCCAGCAGGGTCTTGTTAGGCAAACTATAAGGCATCTGTGTAATTCTGAAGCTAAAATTTAGGTGACAAATAACATTATATCAGCAAACTACGGAATGATAAATCTGGGGGGAAAAGAATTTACCACAAAAAAACAGATGGGGAAAATAAAAACCTCTTTTGCTAAAACAGATTAGGACTGCTTCCAGTAACAGACAAGTGTCCTACTGTTTTTTAAAAGTAATCTTTGTTTTTTTCATTGTATGAATACTTCATTCTTTATAGCTAATTAACCTACTGAATCTAACTACATTTCATCCTTCTGGAGTGATTCTTATTGATAACTTCACATTCTAGACATAACTTTTGGTTTATGAGAAGGACATCTTTTACCAGACTTCAGGTGCTTGTAGTACATGCTAATATCTTCTTGTTACTTGTAAACTTATGGTGCCCGCTATCGCAAAAGTTGAGCAAAATTAAACACTGCTGAAAACCATGAATGAAGGCAAACAATTCAAAAGAAACCTAAAAGCCTTTTGTGGTTAATTCCAGCATACCTTTGTAATGCTGTAAGTGGCCCAGATAAGTGACTGAATGTAACAAGGAGCAGAAACAGGACAAAGGAAGATCCCAGTACACAAATTAAGAAGACAGTAGAAGATGCAAGTGACTCCTGTACTTATATGAGGCAATATAATCATTTGGGCTATCTTATTTACTGTCAGCAAGTCAGATGCCCTGAATGAGTCAGATGCCATCAGGGTATAAAAACATCTCATTTGTTTTCATAAATTACTGTATTTTGTGGGCAACCACAAATAAAGACTTGTTACCAAGGGATACCGTTTATGTGCCAAGACTGGCACACCATCAAATACAGAGAGATAGGGAAGCAGAAGAAACAGTCCTGGTACCTACCCAAGAAATGACTACACAGGAACTGAGTGAAAAGGAAGGCTAGAACATGCCAACTCAGGCCAGGGAAGACAAAGAAACTTGAATCCTGCAGTGACTGGGGCATCTTTAAGTGTTGAGAATACAGATAGTTTTACCAACATGAGAAGCTTGTAGGTACTGACATACTTCAAAGACTCATATTATTACAAACAAGCCTAGGATGAGAGGTTCCAAAACAAAACAGTCCACAGTGAAAATTAGATGAGCATCATTATAGCTCTAAATGGCTGCCATTCCTCAGCAGAAAGAATGGTACACCCCCTGCCTGGTGAAAGTCAACTCAGCCCAGCAAATAACTCCAGACTACCTCAGGCCAAGTGGGAACAAAGCAGCATGCACCTTGTGAAGTTCCAAGCATTTGGGTATCAAGCAAGGTGCAGTACTCATACCTTCACCATGCCTCAACTCCTGATCGATTGAAATCCCAAACAGAAACACAAGACTTACTTCACTCCTCCTGCAGGAGCAGCACCAATCTCTCATTAGCTCATAACAGTTTGTTTAGAGTAACTGCAGCTACAAACAGCAAACTGCTTCCACACAGCAGCTGCCCACATGCAAAAGGAGATAATATACTTTCACTACAGTAACTTGCACCTCTGTTCAGCACTCTCTAAGTTATCTCACAAATGCAACTTGTTTCTGTTCCAAGTTAACTAGAAGATATAGATTTACTGCAACAAAATAGTAAGTTTTGTAGATGAAAAAGGCAGTTCATCATCTTTGTGGTACTTTACCTTTTAGAGAAATACAGTAGAAACACAGTCCAATCTCTCTTGGGCAGTTATAGACCTAACAGATACTCAGCCTCTAGCAACTAAAATTCAGGATTCTGAGACCTATTTTTGGTTTGGCTGTTGCCTAATACTGCACACACTTGTTCTTGAAGCTCCAAAATGCAACCATTTTTTCTACTGCTGGTCAGCTCATGAAATATTTTGTGTAGCACTAACCAACAGTTTACTAAAGCTATTGACGTAATATATTAGTAATATGACTAAAAATATTCTGAAGATGGAAATATCACAAAAATATAGTTCTCAAGAGAATTAAAAAGCTTTACTATTATATTTACTTTCTTTGTTTAACAATCTTTTCTATTCCTCAGTCTCATATTTATATTCTAACCCATTCAGTTGCTTTTCATTTCACTGCTGATTTCTCTTCTGTTCTCATTTCTTGCTCTCCCAGATTCATTACCATCAAAACTCAAGAATGTTGTCTCTCTGCCACTGGTGAGATGGCATTTGTCTTCTTTTATTTCTTGACTTTCTTCTCATTTAAATGTGAATATATTGTTTAAAACTCCTGCCTCCATTTTCTATTCAACTTCATTCTGGATCTTCACTAATTCTGTTTCTTCCTTTAATTCCACTGAAATTTCTGTAACATTTTCTCGTGACCTTTATTTTACCAGCTTCTGTTTTACTTTTTACTCCACTTGATCAGAATCTCAACAAATTACTGCCTTAGATTTTTCTGCTCTTTAGATTCCTTTTCTATCTTCTCTGTGTTTTTTTTTTTGGTTTTTTTTTGCTAATCATACTTCCTTCATCATCTGCTTTATGCTGGACTTGAACAAGCCTTTTTCCTTACCTGCTTCCCTTTCTCCTTTTTAGATTATAATATACATTCAGATACTTGCAGGTCCCATTTCTGGACTGAGGGCTCAGGTAAACTCCTTTGCATCTAACCCTGCTCCTCTACCTGTCTGTTAAATATCTCCTTAGTGTTCATTAACATAAACTAAGCACAGACAAAATGGAACTCTTGCTCTGTCATCCCCAAATGTCCTCTTTTCTTCATGCTCTGTCAGTATGACTGTTCTCCCTCTGGTAATCTGCATCAGCTGTGATGTCTACAGCTCTCACTAGCTCTATGAGAGGAATCTTAGCATCATTAAGGTTTGAGCTTTTTCTGCTGGTAATATAGTGAAAGCTCTTAGTTGATCTCCTTGGTTGTTTCCAATAGCATTCCTCTTCAGTTGATACTTCCCTCTCTGCACATATATGTATAAGGAAAGGCCGAAAAATCATCTTTTCTCTATACCCTTGTACAATCACATATAGCTTCATCATTTTTACATTTCTTCCAACCAGATCAAATTTTTGAGGCCTTAACTGGCTCTCCCCAATTATCTGCACTTCTTACATTGCCAGTTGACTACTCCCATGCTTATAACAGCAACATTGACACTCCGTCTGCTTTTCAATGATGTCTTCCTTCCATGTTGCCTGATACAGAGACATGCCCCTTTTGACTTGTCCTGAAAGTCTGTTAAAACCTTATTCCTTCCTCAAGTCCCATTTCTATCTCAATACCTAAAGCAAAGCAACCAATAAACCAAACAGGCAGAGGAGCACTCCTACTTTATAACATTTGATAAAGGTAGGCAGGCAACAGATTATTATTATTATCTTCAACAGTGCACTTCTCCAGAGCATCCTCCTCACTAACTCACCATTTCTAGGCCCGTTTAGCCTAATAGTATTTTCACTCAGGAACTGGTAGTGTTTCTGAACAATGTCTTGTATATCTTCCTACTACGCTACCATAACTGATCAAGAGAATTACAGCTTCTGTTATTTTTGTAAAGGAACTTTAACAAAAAGAAGTCAAATGTAGTATTTCACTGTTAGTCAGATAATTGTTAGGAAGCATATAAGTGTCAAATATTTTTTTCTTTTATTTGCTTGATATAAACCTAAAAAATTGTGTAACCTAAATATATGTCACTTGTTCTCAAATCTCATCAAGGCTCTTTAGTGTATGCACTACCTAGGGTTATCATTCCTGTCAATGTAGCTGCAGTATACAGACTTCAGCATTATGATAGTAGCACAAAACATGCTGAGCCAATTCATCCATTACAGTCAATGGTGTTACAGTAGGGATTATTTTGTTCCCCCTATGGTTTATTGTTTAAATGCAGACACTGCTTTGTGATATAGTTTTATGCTATAGAAAACCTGTCTAATTTATGCCACTTAATGGATGGTTTAAGCAGAGTACTATTTTGCCTCTTAGGAATCATTTCCTTTAGGTAAAAGCAAATTAATGCATTTTACTTATATTTAAATAACACAGAATTGTATATTAATCACATACTCATGGCATTCTATGTGAAATACACATCTACTGCTGGGATGCTAATTAAAACCATCCTTACTTACACAGAAAATACTTTTTCTGAAATATATTTACAATCAGTGAAATATGTCTCTGGGCCCAGTTCTGTTAAGTACTGAGCAACTTGGCAACAGAAGTTTGTTTTCATTACTTGACAGGATCAGATGTGATGAGATTAAATATCCAGCAAACAGAACATGTATATTGTGAGTTTATCTTATTAATCAGTTTTGCCCATAGAATACAATGCTTCGTGAAAACCTAGAACTTCACTTGTTGGCAGTAAATATTAGGAATGGCATCTTCAGTCAGAAGAAAACACTCTGAGATGAATGTATTTGTCTTGCACTGAAAAAGTGTCTCTCATGAAGAATGAAACCACATGAGATCTTTTTAAAGCAAGCATCACTCACCGAGTCTTTTTCCAACCTCTTCTGTAGCCTTGTTTGCCACTGGACAGCTTGCATGACAATGGCTTCCCACCTCCTCTCAAGGTTTACAATTATCAACTGCATGGACTGGTGATCTGCATTTAGGTTGCAGGTCTCCTGGTCATCCAGGAGGTGCTGGCATAATCGCAGCACAGAGGCTACCCCACGACGTCTCTGTTTGATCTCACAGCATAGAGACTGCAGGACAGACAAACAACAAATGTCAGTGTGGAATACTTTGCAAATTAAAACATTTACTATTATCTGATATTCAATAGTGCCCAATTTCTGCCTTACAGTAGTTTTTTCAGCTCTTCCATAAATTCCCATACTTAGTGTCAAAGCTCAATGTTTTCTTTTCAGATAAACACAGTCTTAATCTTAATAGCACAGAAGGAGTAAAGCTACTTTCAAGACTCCTTCAAACAAATGCCATACATAGCTAACTGTCTCAATAATGTTGAAAGTTTTATGGTGTAGACTGGTTTATTCTTCCTTTTTTTTCATTCAACTGGGGCACATCTGAAATGAGTTACCCTGACAGTAATCAGCTTCAGAAATTCTTCAGGAAAAAATGGGGGGGGGGGGGGAATTTTTTTTTGTACA